CCATTAAAAAATTACTCGACTTTATATATTTTATATGAAAATTCTTTAAATCGAGTTTGAACGATAAAACATGACTGAACGATTCAGTTAACTCGAATACTCATCCATAATTCATCCGTCATTTTAAGTTCATATCTTAGCAAATTTGAATCCCAACGCTCACACCTCTGGCATCTATGATGCTCGAACTCGGGTCCTTAATGAATAATAACAATTCCTTGACCAAATAGGTCACTTGATTCGTCATTTAAATTGGATGAATCTACACCATAACATTATAAATTTTACAATTAAATTAGAACACAAATCCTGAAACTTAACTCGGTTTTATTCGAATCAATTTTTAAAATAAAATTTAAATCCTATGATAGGACTCGTAAACTCGACTAACTCGAAAGATTTCAAATCTATGGAACCCATAAAAATGGAGAATATTAGTAATTCAACTTTTGTTCCACCTTTGCTTTGCACGTCTCATGTCATTTAGAAAAGCTTTGATTTATCTCAAACGTAGGGTAATTGATCTCAGTGCACCCATGGATTCTTTTTTCCTTATTTCTTGAGATGAAAGAGATGAATTTTCAACAGAGAAACCGATTTAAACAAAAGATACGACGTCATTTACCTGCCTTTTTGCGGTATTTGATTGGCAAAAACAGGTGGTTAATATAATTCATTTTACTGATCAATTAAATTTTCTTTGCGTTTTCAACAAACTTTTCACTTCGGATCATAGACACTCAGACATTGTTATTTTTAATATTTAATATTAATATACTATTTTAGTATCATTTTAATAAAAATATTAGTTATTAAATTATATTTATTGATCATTTTAATAAAAAATATTGTATTTTTTATTGTTATAATTATATTATTCTATATATAATATTGTAGTTTTATTTTAATAATACATAATAAATTCTGACAATCATCTCTCATTGTTTCTCTGTGTTGCTGATCATGACAAGCTTCTTCCAGGTTTGATATTGTTGGATGTCAGTGAATCTTTTATATTGGATTTATTATCTTGACAAGCTTCTTCCAGGTTTGATCATACTCTAGTAATACATAATAAAAGCTCAAGTTCAAGTTATGTGTCTCAATCATACAGAAATGCCATAATGGGTAATCATGTTGCTTCTAGTTCAGCTGGTTTCACTCATCCCACTCCCCTAGCTCAGGAGTCAACCCACTACCGGCACACTTGCAACCACCTGCCTTGGTATCTACATCGGTTTATTTAACCCAAAGTTCTGATCGGATGGAGCTGAATCCTGCCCAGTCAGGCTTTCCGTTTGGCATGGCAACTAAGGATAGTTTGCCAAATGCACCCCAATGGTTGGAGAGTTCCCAAAGGGATGGCAGTAGAAGTAATCCTTCATCGCTTAGTGAGATCCAAAATCCTGACTTGTACAATTCCGAGCATAATGGAACCCAAGAACGCTTTGCACGATTTGCTGAGCTTCCAACATCTACACCCGGACATCATACCCAAGGTTTATTGGGAGATGAGTTTCCACATCTTGACATCATCAACGACTTGCTTGATGAGGAGCACAATGTTGGGATAACAGTTGGGGCAGGATCAGGGTTCCCTTCTCTTGGTAATCGCTCACATTTATTAAACCAGCAGGTTTCTTTGCCATCCAATTTCGGCATTTCAGGTGAGATGGGACTGTCGAGTGGTGACCGAGCACGAAGTTTCCACGATGATGGGTTCCAACAAGGTTACAGCAGTTCCTCGAGCAACCATTTTGATTCACGGAGGGAATTTATTCCGCATGCTAGCCCCCCTACCGTACACCAATGGACAAATTGGTGGTTTGGTCCCAACCCAGTGGCCAGCCGCCTTTTAAATTATGCCATTGGTTCTTCTACTATGAATAAATTATGAACAAATTCTGGACATCTTTCCATTTAGACAGTTAATAGGTTTTTTCAGGGACTAGATATTAAATGTACAAAACTTATAGGGATTTTAGGTAATTTTAACCATTTAAATACGAATATGCGCTGATAATTAAAATATGAAGCAAAAATACTTTTTCCAGTAAGGAGCAAGGCAAGGCGTGAGAGAAGCACGTTATAAACACGAAACCAACGCCATAGATCTCTCCTCTTGGCTTCTTCAAATCAAAAGAATTGGTCCGTGGAAGGATTTTTGTGTTCGGATCCAGTACGTTTGGTTGGACAGAGTAATCACGGTCGACTTTCTCTCAGGTCTGTTTCGGATTATTATTCTCTGTGCTTTTAAACAGATTTTGTGTTGAATCCACCGTGTTACTCTGCCCAATCAGATGTTTTGGATCAGCATCTTCCTCTTGAAATCCCCGGAGAGGCAAACCGGAGGTAATCGGTAATCTCTCGATCGGCAAAACGGTATGCGATAATTCAGAATGAAAAGCGAGGTGATTCTTTTTCTTTCCTTTTTTGGGGAGATTCTTTCTAGATCTTAATTGTCCCACAAACGGTGAAACACGAGGGGCTGTGGCAGGTGAGTGACGTACTTAGAAAAAAATTTAAAATAAAATATACAAGTGGGTTCTTTAATTATTAAAAGATATAAAATAGCGTTCTAATTATAAGATATTATTCTGTTAAATTCTCAACTATTAAAAATTATGAAATAATTATTCGACTATACATATATCTTAAACTCATTAAAATAGTTACAAGTGGTTTTCAAGCATAGAGCATCCTCCGATTATAAAATAGTTATTCACTATTTATGATAGTCTGAGTTAGATGTTAACATGTTAATTAAGATATGATAGTCGTTGTATGAGCTGAGATTAGATTTTATCGTATCTCAATTCATGTACAACTCATGTTCCGTCAAATTATTTTTAAGAAAAATGATAGTTTAGAATATATTAGTCAAATCATCATTTAGTAACTTTTAATAATATAGAGATTCAACAAAGTAATAATCTATAATTAATGTATCATTTTATAAGTTTTAATAATGAGAGATTTACAAGGGGAGACCATTTATGTTTTTTACCTATTTTTATGTTAAATTTTTTATTTTATTTAATTAAAAAAAATTAAAATTTAATGAATAAAATAAAATTAGAATAAATTAATTTTTTTAATTATTGATAAATTGCTTTTTAAATCTGAGTTAAGTCTCTTAATTTCAATTTTAAAAATATAATTTGATGACTAAAATGAACTGTAAGAATAGGAGAGTGACTAAACACTAAATTTATTCAATGTTTTTTTTACTTAAACTTCAGTGACCAGGCAGATATGCCCCCATCGTCTAGCGGTATAGGACATCACTTATTCAAGGAGGCAGCGGGGATTCGACTTCGCCTGGGGGTAGGTTACTTCCAGCGGCCGTTGATCAGATAAGTGAAGTTAGGTCGGTTTCTTCAGTTGAAATTCATGTCATGTGCTTCTCTTTGGTATAGAACAAAGTTTCTCTCCAGAGCAGGTGACTCCATCTTCTCATTCACTATTATCACCATAATTTTCAATTTCCCATGTTGAGTTTTCTCTCCAAAACAATCCTCCATGGGAGGAGACCCGTCAAGATCAAAGCTTTCAAATGCCACGGTCTTTTAAACATTTTCGAAAACAGCCCATCACTTTCATTCTCAACCTCTTCAGATCAACAATCATTTATAGTCTCTTACCTCATGAAAACTTGTGGGTTGTCCCAAAACTGTTTTATCGGTCTACAAACATGTCAACTTTGGAACCCCAAATCGACCCGACTCTGTCATCTCCTTATTAAAGAACCAAGGATTCTCGAAACCCCAAATTGCTGTCAATATCGGGAAGATACCATGTTTGCTTTCCTGTAATGCTGAGAAAACCCTTTTGCCAAAAATCACGTTTTTGAACTCAAGAGGCATCTCAAGCTCTGTTCTTACCAGATTCTTATCTAAACACCCATATATTTTAAGAATTAGCTTAGAGAATAAAATTATCCCTTCTTTTAACTCCCTAAGCAATCTGTTTAAATTGGATAGTGATGCCCTTGATGTTGTAACTGCACGGCCCCGTTTTCTTATATATGGTGTTTATTCTTACATCTTGACTAATACCAATGTTTTGAGGAAAAATGGAGTGCCTGAACTTAACATAGCTAAAGGCTTTCGTTGGATTCCTTTTCCACTCTGTTGCTCCGGTTTTGTTCAAAGAACATGTAGAGAAAGGAAAGAAAATGGAGTTCAATCCTGAGAGGTTTAATTTTGTTTTATCTGCCTGTGCATTAGGTTCGACGAGCAAATCCACTAGGGAGAGAAAGTTTGATGTTTATAAAAAGTTTGGTTGGTCTGAGAAAGAGATTGTAGAAGCTTTCAGGAGAAATCCCTCGGTAATGGCGACTTCTGAGGATAAAATTAAAGCAGTGATGGATATCCTTGTAAATGTAATTGGGTTCCAGGCTTCACTTGTTGCTTAACAACCGAATTTGCTTGGAATGAGCGTGGAGAATTGTTCCTAGGGGTTTGTTTGGTAAAGACCTTGTGTCAAAGGGCTTGCTTGAAAAGGCATTGTTGTTGAGGATGTTTGATATTCCGGGTGAATTGTTCTTTAAGATATTTTTGTATTGTTATGAAGAAGGAAAAGCTTCTGAGCTGCTAAAACTCTATAACGAAAAATTTAACCTTGCTACGGGGGGAAAGCTTAAGACAGACAAATTTAAGAAGATATGTTGAAATATTTTCTTTATTAGTATTCTTTTTCTGTCATAACTTTGATGTGCTATTCGACTCTCCATAGAAGATCTCACTTAAGATGTCTGTTTCTCATCAAACATTGCTGTTGAAGCTTTAGAAAGAATAATTGAATCTTCCATGTTAAATCTTGCTATATTTCAAGAGCAACAATGAAATGTGTGTTCACTTAAACACTTCAATTTCCTAATATTTTAAGCGATATAGATATGCAATCTTGCTGTTCTGTTTGTTTTCTGTTAGTCCATGGTCATATTTATGATTTACCATAACCATTCTCTACATTTTTGTTGGTTGGTTTCTATGGCAATTCAGAAAGAGCTTGACATTCAAGGCAAGCAGAACGTTAAGCTTCTGTTACGAAGGACCTCCACCAACTGTTGAGCTGAAAATGGTATACTGCAAATTCTTTTTAATGTCATTTAGCATGGTTAAAAATATATCAGAAACCATAACCATTTTCTACATTTTTGTTGGTTGGTTTCTATGGCAATTCAGAAAGAGCTTGACATTCAAGGCAAGCCGAACGTTAAGCTTCTGTCACGAAGGACCACCACCAACTGTTGAGCTGAAAATGGTATACTGCAAATTCCTTTTAATGTCATTTAGCATGGTTAAAATATATCAGAAATAAGTGCCTGGTTCATTGTTGATCTCTCTTCATGTGCGTAACATTTCATATGCTGTTTGTTCAGATGCTGTTTTGTGTTTCGGGTGAGTTGTCCAATTTTAAAGGAGATAAGGGTTTGCTCTCATGGTTTCTTGTGACTCCTCTAAATAATAAATATCATGTTTTCTTTGAGTTGCCAAGACTTGTTGCTTTTTTTCGGTTTTGTTATCATGTGAGAAATCTCTGTAAGTTATAACCTTTTCATGTATAAAAAAAACTTATTTGTTGTAATCTTTCACAAAGTAAAGAAACTCCTAGTTCACTTTTATGAACAATCCAATAAATCTAAGCATAGGTTTCCTGCTTTGTTTGAGCTGATGGGGAAAGGTAGCACATACGTTTATTTTTGTTGGAGTATCGTGTCCAACATGTTCGACCCGTATAGGGATATGTACTGGGACGAGTGACGGGTTAACATAGGTCAGGTGCATCTAGTTTACCCTCTTGGAGGAATCATTTCTTTCTATGTTTTCTATAACCATTGTCGAAACCTTTTGAACTTTGTGAAGATTTGTGCATTCAAATTGTCTGGTTTATGGGTAATGTGTGAATTGAGAGTAATGCCTTTTGCCTCCATTAAGAGGTGAACAATGAAGATAAAGGTGCGTAGATGGGGCCATTAAGGGGATGCTTTTGTTAAGGTGGAAGTTGTGCTTTTGCATGATATGTAGACACGTATTTTGCTTAGTTATGCAAGCATCATCATGGAAAGGTCTTCAAGAAAAAGAGAACAGGATGCCAATATAGTGTAAAGCACATAGTGTTGATTGTTTTTTGTGTCAATATATAATATATAACCATCGAATGAATCTGAATGAATGGCAGAAAGAGAGAGGATAATGCTAACGCACGGAGTTTTAATCTCCGTCATCTATTCAGATTCATCCCATGATTATATTTATGTATAAAAAGAGTTTTACACCGTGTATATGGATCATTTCGATATATATATGGTGACATGACAGCAAAAGATTACTTTCTGAGAACAAAATGACTCACTAGTGCTGGCAAATTTTCTAGTCAAAAGGGATTGTGGCTTTAAATTTTTGGTGTTCCATAACATGCTTTTCCCATGTAGAGTAGTTGCTTTCTACACCATCTCACTTCCTTCACAATTAGCAATGCTTTTAATTTAGGTATAAAAAGGGATGGACCGAAGGGTGGTGAGGTTGCGGTCGAAGTCTAAAAATTTCAAATACTCATAATTTATTCATTTTCTTTATTTTTTTATTGATTATCTATTTTTTGAAAATTTTATAATTTTGCACTTCTCAAAATTTTTAATATGATTTTTTAAATCCGCATCTTTAATAAAAGTGTCACTAAATATAATTGTAGGTTAACCTTGGCATTGAAAACGATCTTGTTTTTTATTCATCATTAGGTTGTTTTCCGTCAATCAAATTATTTTTCGTAAGTCATTTTTCGTGGAACGAATTCGGACACAAATGTCAAAGAAAATGTCTTAGCTTCCATCACAAGGAAAACAAAATTAATAAGCTTCAAATAATTGCATTACTAGTAAAAGAAGGCAATGGATATGGGTTAATAGAATAATATTTCTTATAATATCAAATTATTAATTTATTTTCCAATTCAAAGTAGATGACTTTTGTGAAATTAGGGAATGATTAAACAAATAATATATAATAATATAATATAATTAAAATTTCCCCTTTTTTGGTTCCAACTTGATTTGTTTTACCACAGCTAAAGGTTTTACAGCCTGTATTTCTTTCTATTTAAGTAAGAAATGACCATCCAACTCAGTTGGTAGAGCACAAGGTTCTTAACCTTGAGGTCGTGGGATTGAGTCCCACGGAGGGCATTTCATAATTCGGAGGTCTCTTACGGAAGCTGCTCTTAAAACCTACTATCTTACATCCTCCTTACCCCATACATATGGGAAAAAGGGACAGCCATTTCTTTCTATTTAAGCTTGGAATAACTATTTATGGCATTTCCTTCAAGCTGGAAAAGAAAAATATAAGAGTAAATTACGAATTTCATCATCCAATTTTCTTTCCACTTTTATTTTGATCAATAGAGTTTTAAAAAGATTTGGTTTATTCGTTAAACTTTCGATTTGCTAACATAAATGAAAGGGTAGCATGACATTCATCTTTACTAATATTGATACATGTTTATTGAAATAGAATCCATGTGTCGTTCATACCATTTTTTCCCTTTTTTTTTTCTTATGTTATCTTTATTTGAAGATTGAAGTTTTACAGTTTCATTCATGCGTCACGCCGACACTGTGATTACTATTTTCAGGCATCCTCTTCAATCACTCATGATATCGACGAATTCGTCCTATTGTCTTGTTTTATTTTATCAACTTAGATTTGACTTAAATCATTTTAAAAACTCAATCTTAAACTCGAAATTCGTAAAATCACAAACCACTATGATCTTTAATCTTCACCATCTAATTAGCGAAGAATTAAAATATACAACTCATTTTTTCCTTGTATGTCTCCCTGTTATCGGTAGGGGTGTGCAAATCCGGGTACCCGGATTTTCAGGTACCCGATTTCCGGGTACCCGGAACTTCCGGGTCGACGATTTTTCGGCCCGTGTCCCAACCCGGATGTTACGGGTACCCGGTAATCGGGTACCCGGATTTTGCGGGTACCCGATACCCGGTTTTTAATTTTTTTATTTTCAAATTATTAATTTAAAAAAATATATACACAAATTTAAATGTTCGAAACTTCGAATTACATACTCTAATATCCGAACATAAAATTTAAAAGTTCGAAATATAAAATATAATAATCCATAATATAAATAATTCATTATATTTTATATAATTATATATAAAAAAATAAAAAAAAATAAAAACTAACCGGGTACTCGGGTAACCGGGTACCCGGAAAAACTATATTTTGTGACCCGGGCCCGACCCGGGAAATGTCGGGCCGGGTACCCGACCCGGCCGGGTAATTTTTTTTAGAGAATTACCCGGTTTTTTTTATATCCGGGTCGGCGGGTCGGCGGGTCGGGTCAACCGGGTCGGGTAATTTTGCACACCCCTAATTATCGGGATTTGAAAGAAGATACTTTATATACACGGTATAAGCTTTTTTTATCTACATTTGTTAGTTTGTTTTATTTTTTTAATATTTTTTTATATTTTCATATTCATGTGATCTCCCTAAAACAAATCGGTTAAAATTAACATCCGGTCCTTGTACTTTAATGAAGTTTGAGATTTAATCCCACGTTCAAAAAGTTAAACATCAGTTATATATATATTTATTTCAAAATCTCAACCCCTATTAACTTTGAAGTCAAACAATTTAGCCCCTCCCATTATCTAACCTCGACCATGTTCTTAAATCGAGAATAAATGTTCGAACGTCAAACATAAACCCTACGAAATTCAAACATGAAAGTTCAAAAAAAAATACTCGAAACCAGTGAAAAAGGGCAAAGGTCATTTGTCATCTAAGCCACATCATGAGAGCCTCATCCTCACGTATATAAAGGCCCCTCTAAGCACCAAAAAAGATAAACCCTAAATCATTGCATGGCTAAATCAAAATATCGATCAGCCTCTTTTCCCTTTGCTTGCATCTCTCTTTCTTTTCTCCTCTCGGAAGCCTCCAACAGTTACGGAGAATGTAGTCTGGTTCGAGGTCATTTATTTCAAAGGGGTCTTACGACTTCGTCTCGAATGATCTCGGACCAGGCTTCATTCCCCCTAACTCGAGATATCTCTCGGGCGAATGCATGGGCTGACCGGACGATTCGAGGGTCGAAACCCTGATTTTCGTTTTGTTACATTGATGAAAATCTGAGGTCAGTAGTTGCTTTTCTGGTTAACATTTCAAGCTTTATTAAGTATCGGAATGTTGTTATTTGCTTATTGGAAGTAAATTTTAAGGGAGTTTTTGTTCTTGAATTTTCTCTTGAAGCTTTGCTATTGATATGATGTTCTAAAGATGAATGCCTGCAGATTTTCATATATATATATATATATGTATATGTATATGTATATGTATGTATGTATATGTATGTATGTATGTATGTATGTATGTATGTATATGTATGTCTGTATGTGTGTGTGTTCACCATATTCCCAAAGAATTTTGGATTTTCAAGTGATAACAAGCATTTGGGTAAAGTACACCGAAGGCCACTAAATTATGATTAAGTGGCCTTTTTAGCTATTGAACTTTAAAAACTTACAACAATGATCATTAATTTTAGGTTAAATTACACGTTTAGTACCTAAACTATCTGTTTTGATCCGTTTTAGTACCTAAACTTTTAATATTTTCAAAACCATACGTAAATTTTACTTTTTGTTTCATTTTAGTATCCCGTTCAAAATTTAACATTAAGTTTTGAAAAAAAATTGAAAGTTTATGTACTAAAACGAACCAAAATTGATAGTTTAAGTACTAAACACATTAAGTTTTTAACAATGAGAGTACTAAAACAAAATAAAAACTAAACATTAGGTATGGTTTTGAACAAAATTAAAAATTTAGGTACTAAAACGGATCAAAACTGATAAATTAGGTACAAAATATGTAGTTTACCCTTAAATTCATCAAACAATTACAAAATGGTCATGAGGGTGTTACAGATAGTCATTAGTTTTATCGAATTGTTATATTAAACTCCTACTCATTTTTTTCTCCGACGCTATTAAATTCATCGGGAAAACAATAATTCGAATCGAGTTTAAGCACATTGTGTGAAAAATGTCTAAAAGAAGAAATCAAAGGGAAAAAAGTTGTGTTTGATCTTGTAGCAGTTGGTTTTTCTTTTTGTGTTCTAAATTAGCTTTGCTTGTGGAGAGTTGCAAAGAATATAAGGTTAGGAGCAACTTTAACTTTACTAGTTGCATGAGAGGGAGATATTCCCCTATCAACCACCTAAACCTTTCAATTTAATCAATTTAATCCTTTGATTAATTTTAATAAAGGAAAAAAATATGCATAAAAAGAAGTTTTAGCCTTGAACCGAAATTATTTAATGGTTTATAGATTTATATAAATTCTAGCTTTAGGGTTTTCATAGATTTTGGCTAAAGACTGAGTTCAAAATTATTATCCGTACAATTTTTAATATTTTTTTAATAAAATAATAATAATTGCAATAATAATTAAGAGTGGTCAAAAGAGATGAAGACATCTTGAGTGTGCATTACAACAAAAGTGATTCCTATGCTCCATAAAGTCATATATTACCTTTATTTTATTTTTCAAAATTGAAGACGATGTTTTAAAATATATATATCGAGTCTATCGAGCGGTTTTAATGATAAAAAATATTTTTTTGGAGAATTTAAATTTGAATAGTTATATCTACAGTATATGTATTGTCAATAACTAAAATATTTTTTAACAAATGCATGTATTGTTACAAAATGGTCATCCGACTATTCATTATATTCCAGACTCGTCCTTTTTCGTTAAAAAAATTATAGTTGTTTAAGTCGGACGTTAACATGGTGACGGAGATATGATAGTCATATGAGATTTTGAAATCAACTTTTATCATATCGCAATTAACAAATTAACGTTCAACTCGGAATATCGCCTAATTTTTAAAGGAAAACGATGAATTTGAAACATAATGAATAGTCAGGTGACCATTTTGTAATTTTTAATAGTCGATCGACTCAACCAAGAGCACTCCATAGATGGATCTAGAAATATTTTTTAGGGTAGGCACACACATTAATTATTGAAATTTTTCGTATGAGGTGGGTACAAATAGAATTTCAGGGTGGGCACTCATAGTAAAATAGACAATTAATATTTTTTGTAATTATTTAATTTATTAAAAATTCAATATTATTTTTTTCGAATTAAATATCAAATAACTCATTTTTACTTCTTAAACATTCAAATCTAATCCATTCTATTTGAATATTGACCGAAATTTGACAAAGTAAAACTCGAACAACTCCTATATGTAGACATCAGATCTGGAGAATTGATCTAGAGAATTGTTTCCATATGTTCATTGATCTGGGACCTAATGGTTAGACAAGATAGTTTAGGACACGAATAGAGTAACTTTAATAATTAAGAGATTTGTCGTTATGTTTTGAAGTTTCGAACTCAAACATCGCTCATATAAAAATACGAGTGTTTATTATCAAATGATTGAGAGTCTTTGAACATCTATTATCTTATATTCACCACAGATTTATAGATAAACAAATAATTTTTCGACTGAGGTCACTCATTCAAACTGTACCAAAGATGAAAGGATAAATAGAAATGGATATTTAATTCAAATTTGACGAGTTTCAATCTGATCCGATCTACAAAATCGAATTCTTCATCAAAATTTCATTCAGATCAACTAATTCAATCCATAATAGTTCCTAAATATAACTAAAACTATAATAATTTAAAATTTACTCTCTCTTTTCTAAAACAATTAATCAATTAAAATGAATTATATATCATTTGTTTATATATGCAAAATACCTTAATCTAGTAAGCTAATAAAAAAAATTCTAAAATTAAAATAGATAAATAATTCAAATATATAATTTCAGTATACAAAAATAAAATAGATTGAAACAATAAATATCTTTATTCAAATTCCAATTATTATGAATAATAATATTCAAATAATAATTTGCATTCGCTATTTAATTTTAAAAATATTCGTGTTCGATTCATTTAATGTTTATGAATAAATTGATTGCATCATTTTCCTATCCTTTAATGTACCAGGCAAAGAAAAGTAGTGAAATTACACCTTTAATCTTTAAATTTTTTAAATTTTACAGTTTGATTTCTAAAATTTACCTCGTGTTCAGTTTAGTCTCTACCTTCACCAATATTTTAAACGTACACAAAATAAAAGGAAAAAAGTACCGTGTAAACGAGCCAATAAATGAACTTGTTTGTAAACATAAACGAATCAAACATATATGTGCTCTTTCGTTTTATTAAATGTACATAAAAAAATTGTTCATACTTATATATTTAGCTTAATAAACAAACGTTATAAGAACGGTTCATCGAACACTTTGTTCATTTACATTAATAGGCAATCATTCTATGTAAATTTTAAATTATCAAATAATTTAGATATTTTTCTTTACATTTTTTTATTAATAACCTATTTTTGTGCTCTAAAATTTTATAAATCCACCCCTCTCAAAATTTTATAAATTCATCCTCAAACATAAAATCATGCGTATAGACACGGACTATTTTGTTAATGTTTATAATATAAAGGGGTGAATATACTTATTTTCCAAGTATAGGAATCACAATGTAATCCGATAACTTTTATGATAGTTTTACCCTGTTATATATATACACACACACACACACTTATCAACGTGACAATACCTGTACCTCATGCTGCAGAATCCTTCAAAAAGCTTGGAATCCACCTTCACTTCCATGAAAACTGCTCCAAGTTGCAGTTGCATACAAGATTGGTGATCCATTTCCATGGCAGCACCTACTTTTAGCTTCAAAACACTTTCTTCTCGTCTTTAATTACTCATTTTTTCATTTCCTGTGAGCCTTATATAAATAATATGCCAAAGGGATCATATTTATTGTCGGTAGCTTCTTTCTTCTCAGCTTTTGGGTTTTTTTTCTGTAGTTTTCTTCTTCTTCTTTCTGCATTCATCAGAACTTTCATTTGATTTACTTCTGTTTATATATATATGTATGTATGTATATATTTAGGAGTTGATTTATGTGGTGATGCTGCAGTAGCCAGTAGGAGTAACTAGATTATGTTACTCGAATTCGGATATGATACGAGTATGCTTAGTTTTCATGATATTAGAAATATTCGTATATATCTCGAATACGAATATGAAATGTTATGTTTCTCCAACTCTTTATCATGTTCAATAGAATGGAATTTGGATGCTTGATGTTGGATTTCAATGGTGGGATTGCATTTGCTGTTGATTCAAATCCGAGATCTTTTCTTCGAAATACCGAAAAAATTTGTTGATTAAGTTATATATCCATGGTGGTTCACTTGAAATGTTATGTGAGATCAAACTCGGGTTCCATGTAGTTTAACTGCTGCTAGACATGTCTATATGTTCTTGCCACATGACATTAACTTCCCTTGGATTTCAGGATTGCGGATCGAAGGAATCATTGTTCGAAACCGAACATGGAGAACGAAAACCTAGAACCGGGGACCGATTTAGGCCTTGCACTGGGGTGTTCCGGTTACACGATCGCGAGAAGGACCAGCAATGATCTCGGTGCAGGTGCAAATGCAGCTTCAAGTATCATCGTGAATTTCGTGGCCGCCGATCCCTTGTCCGAAATAGTTTGGTCTCCACACAGAGGTCTCTGTCTCAAATGTACCGAATGCAGCTTTTTGGACAATGAACATTCCCTTCTCCGGGCTGCAGGAGCGAGTAATATGGTGAATCAGCAAACCAATACATCCTCCTCTACATTCCTTGATCTGAATGCTAAAGTTTTAGACATGGACTACTTGGACAAATCGGCCGGAGATAACGATGGCATCCGGTTGTGCCATGAGCCACAGATCGATAATGACGATTCTTTACAAGGCATGTTATGTTTGCATAAACTATTTATGTGTTCATGGTTTGCTTTTTGATGTCCTTGCAAATTGCTGATGCACTTGACATGTAACTGATATGTTCTTTACTTGACCAAAAAACAGAAGTGGCACGAATCGAGTCTTTATTCGATGATCCCGCAAATGAAGTCGGAGATGTCGGTCATCAGACTTGGTTGGCACGGATGGAGATGGTTTTGGCATCTGAAGTTCAAACCAACAATGAGTGTGGAGCATCTGGACCTCCAGAGAACAAATTGACTTCTGCTGAAGCTGAAAAGGACTATGAGCACCATGAGGGGATACAATCGTAGAATGTGTCCGCTGGCAAGCATTCTCTGACTAATGGCGGAACCCATAGATGCAGAAGAAAAGGAAAGGAAAAAACTTTATCTGATGGAGATGTTAAAGGGATGATGTCGAAAGCCGAGGTCGATGACAGCGACGAGAGTGTTGAAAGTTGTAACAGTGCTGCATTATTCTCTACAGGCAAAAGACGGAAGGGCTTTGAGCAAGAGTTGATTGTTGGGAGCAAAAGAGTGAAACAAGATAGTCCCTTCATGAACTGGATATCAAATATGATGAAAGGGTTCTTGAAAGCGAAAGACGAAACGCCCTCTCTTATGCTTACTGCTGCAAATACCAATAAGGCACACGGGAGTGCCATCGAGAATCTTGATGCAAGCAATACGAAACGAGATCCGGGGTGCGGAAGTTCGGTTTCCAATCTGTTTTTCACACCAAGGTCAAGGAACATCACTACTTGAAATTGATCAAGCTGGACTCGATCCAACTAACAAGATTTGTGACATCAATGCTACTTCAGTCACTTGTCATGGAGAAAACCTAAACTTCCTTAATGTGTTTAATGAAAGGTTCAAAAAACCAATTTGTGGTGACAGGGTAGGTCCGAGTAAGAGAAGTAACGAGGAAAATATTGCACAGAATACGAGTTCGAACAATTTGCCTGTGGATGTGATGAAGAAAAAGCAAGCACTAGTTCTTCTTTAGGTAAACTGATTTGGACGCACCATCAGAAGCAAAGATGGTTCATAACAGTGGTCATAAAAGCAATCTTCCAGGGAGCTTGTGGATAACTCTGTTTACTCCCAAGTCTTTTAGCTCGTTGTCGAACAGGGATACTGCTGGCGCTGTTGAGTGCTTGAGTGACTTTTTGAAACACACTCCTTGCTACCAGAACAATGATAATATTCCCAACAGCCTCAAGACTGCAGGGACTAGGCAGCAAGGCCCCGAAGAGCAGCTAACCCGTTCGGGTAAAGAATTACCTTCTGCAACTGAAATGGAGGCATCCATTTCAATTGGTTTACAATGCCTTAGGTCGAACGATTCAGAGATGATGGCTTCTTTTTGCTCTAGGAGATTACACGCTCTCAAGCACATCATGCCTTCTGGTGTTCTCGACAATTAAACCTCGTTGACTGTCACATGTTTCTTTTGTGGGAGGAAGGGCCATCATTTGGAATATTGTCCAGATATAACAGATAATGAAATTGAATATCTGAGGAATATGAAGTCATCTAATAGATTCGAAGAATTATCTTGCTCGTGTTTTAGATGCTTTGAACTCGGTCATTGGGCTGTCATATGCCCTACTGCATCAAAAGTTCAACATCACTCAGCTTGTAGGGCTTCTTCGTCTAGTTTCGGTGAAGTGCAATGTTATGCAAGATTTGAAGAGAAAGCTTTTAGACGAAAACCAAGAAGCGATAGCTGGACAGATAGTTCGGATTGATACTGGAAAAGGCCCTCGTACTCTATGAAGTTATTGTAGACAGAATGAAATCAAACACAAATGTGAAAAAGAAATATGTAGGTTCCAGTTCCAAGGAAATCAAACCTTGGGATACTTCAACCAATCAGCAGGATACAGATACACCAAAGGTAATATTCGATGCCATGAGGAAGCTTCGTTTATCGCGGACAGACATCCTGAAGTAGACCATCATTTCCACTGGTAAAATCATATTAAAACATGAAGATATTATCACTAATGTTTTTTTATGTTACCTAATTTAATCTTCATTTCAATTTTTAATTCTGTGTCGATGTCTGGTGGAAGAATTCACGAATATCAGTCCCACGTCTCGAAGGATTTTTCCTGCAATTGAGGCTTGCGAAGTGGGAGCAAGGACTAGGAGGAACAGGATTTTATGTTGCCTGCATAACTGGTATGACACTGAATCGTTTGTTGTTTATCATTGATTAATGGTGGATTGTTAGCAAGTTATTGATTCATAAGGTTTTTTTAGAGGCATAATTTTCCCTTTGTTATCTATCATTTCCCTTCCTGTAATTGCCCAGAGGGAAACAAACAGGGCACACAACGAGATTCGAAGAACTCCATCACCGATAACATAGGGGGGATCATGCTCTGTCGAGAGCCAGTACATCTCCAACCACGATTTTCTCGAGGTAAGACTCAACTTTACATTGTTCATTATGATTTCTTGAGAGTCAAGCATGTTAATTGCATTACCCTTAAGATGACTGTCAACTTACTGGTTTATTAGTTTGATAATATGGTCTAACTACATATCTCAGGATGAGCTTACGGCATGGCTGGGACAACCAAAAAGAGCGGCGGAAAGATTCCGTCGGAAGAAGAACTTACGGTTCGAATCAAAGAGAGAAGAATGTTAAGGTTTCATGCACTTTTTATGTTGGTTTCGGCTGTTGATGTGTGTTATCTTGTTTGCACACAACTTGTGAGGTCGTCAGCAATAGTGTGTCCCTCGAGTGTTCTTCATCTTGTCGTATGATTCGATCCTATATTAGGTTATTTGCATAGAGGGACTGAAAATAGTGTGAAAAACCAAACAATCATACAGCACTTGCCTTACACTACATGCAAACAGATTGGGATTATATAGTTATTATGTTCACAGAACCGATAACAGCATCAAAAGACTCGATTAACACGGGTTTTGGTTCTTTCCGAACTAAACCGAACGACTGCAAATTACTTTCCAGGCCACTTAGAGCAGTACATAACATGACTGGGGAAAATCAAACTACTATATCACATAGATTTACTTCGCTTTTCTGTTAAGCTTACAACGAGCATCAAACTAGTTAAGCATTTTCATCCAGAAAAAAGTTGTTCTTAAGAACCTACAATATTCACCCAAAATAGTGTATCGATCCAATCGTAAATCGTGAAGGTCATCTACGAAGTTTAAAGAGAATTTACAGTCGCAACAAATCCGATACGATGGTTGTGCTGCTAGTCCTGCCAGAGCTAAACATATGTTAGAAGGAGAACCTGGCAATCTCTTCATCTTCATCCTCCTCATCTATAAGATCTTCATCCTCTTCACTGAACCTCACAGAATCATCATCTTCGTCCTCTGGTTCTTCTACTTCATCTTCGGGATTCATCATAGACTTTCTTCTCTCATCTTTGTCTTTCAAACCAGTACTCAAGACAACAGTTTCACCTCTTGATTGTTCCATATCCCTCCTCAACTTATCCATGGTCTCCTTCTGGCATTCTTCCTCTAGGCGTTGTTTTTCTGTTCGTCTCTTGTCGAGGTCAGCCCTATAAACAAGGATAGCAAGATACAAATAACTTTGGGGAATTACCATGAACTTTTAAAACACTCCCAAACTGATTTTGCAAGATTAAAAGAGAAAGGTAATACTTATAATTTTCCATGTATTCCTCAGCACTGGCTTCAATGGCTTTAAAGAATTCATTCATTCCGGCCCCAGAAATAGCCGACACTCCAACAGATCGTAAATTCCTATAAAATTCATCCAGGGATAGGGACAGGCTCTCAGTTAGAGCTGATGTGTATGTACTATCCGACCTTATTGCCGCTTGAAATGCCTCGAAATCTTCCATCCACTGCACAAACGATTTGTTTTTCTTTTTAAAGTCTAAATTGATAAGAAAGCAAACAGCATTACGTATATTGCATGTCAACAGAAAAAATCTGGTGACGGATAAAAACTGATGAATCATGAACAAATGAACGATTGACAAAATTCGGGAAAAGCACAACACACAACCTAGCAATTGTAACAAATATGAACTTAAATGGCAGCATCCACAAGATGTTATCTAAATACCAAAACAAAATATTTGCATCTAATATGGAAATTAAATATACCTCCAAAGCAAATTCATGTTGTGCAACATCAGTCTTGTTGAATGCTAACACAAGAGGCAACCTCGTCTTGTAAAGTATGCTACAAGCATAAAGCATGTTGCTCATGAAGGTAACCGGGCTTGCTGAACGAGGTGTATCGACTACGTAAGTGACTACAGTAGGAAATGTTGAAGCAAATGCTTCTGTAATGATAGCCCCTGAAGCAGACCAGGTAAATATCTCAATCTGCCCTGGAGTATCCACAAGAACATAGTCAAGTTGATCTGCTCGCCTCTCAATAACCGAGATAACCTGAGATTGGGTATTTGCAAAGTCAGTTGCTTTAAATGACAATGGAAAAGTGTCAAAAAAAAGTAAGAATATAACAAGCAAATCGATGGAGAGAATATAGACGATAAAAACAGCTACTAAGACAACTATACAGGTACATGCATTGATGCAAGTTAACTTGAGACAAAAACAGCTACTAAGACAATTCTGCACGTACATGAATTGATGCAAATAAATGATGCCTGTATATGCCAGCACCATTACAGTTTGAAGTAAAATCCAGTACATAAACTTCACGACAACACTAGTTATCCAAGTACCAAAAGTATTGGTATTGTTTTGACAGTTCGTCACAAAATCTAATACAGAAATTTCGAAAGATTTTACCTCAGCAAACTTGGTAGCAAACAAATTAAGTGATGTAAGGATTCCACCATTAGGTCCGAGATTGAACTGCTTCATAACTTCCTTATATTTAACAGTATCTCTTATATCGATATTAGCACCGAATGGAAGGGTCATTACAGCAGGATCAAGATTCATCACATAACCCCTAATATTCGAAGCTTGAGTGTGGCAAACCAGCCTATGGAGGAATGTCGTTTTCCCACTCCCTAACCAAATCAAACACCACATTTCAACATTCAAACATACTCGAACAAGTTGCTAGTAACTTGAATTTCAATTAGAGACCAAAATATGTAATGTACAGTAAACATTAAAAAGAAGACCCAATTCAAGTTCCTTGTTTTACCAGCCATTCCAACAACAATAATAATAACTGGCTTTCTCTTGAAACCGTCTGAAGACGACTCGATATTTAACTTGTCCATAATACCAGCAAGCTGCTCCTTTTCATCACTGTCTCCCTACATAATGAAAAATCAAATAAGTCGGATACCGATTACAAGAACCACTCACCATTTATTTTCAATAGTTTCACTAGAAATTACTTTATAAAAAGGAGGGCACGTTTAGTTACCTTTGTTTCCGAGGGTTCCTGGGAATCCATATTCATTGAACTGCCTTCTTCTGGGATTTTAACATTTGATTTTCCCGACCCAGAATCAATTTCCATCTTCAATAAAACCAAGCTATTTCTGAACAAAAACAGAAGCCCGGAAAATATATACAAGAGTTGTGATCAAAATGAGAACAAGGGAGCCGAGTGTTAAGCACAAACCCAGAAAAATGGAGAACATAATAGTTGGAATTTGCAAAAAAAACGTTGAAAACGAACCTCTTTGAGTCTTGACAGAAGTTCTAGAAATACTTTCGAGCTTCAAGGGCTTCTACCTCCCCGATTGTCAGGGAATGATAGAACGAGGGTTTTAAGTATTTATATACACAGAAAATGGGTTGAAGGTCCCTAAAGAATTTAGGATAAATTACGAGTTTAGTATCTAAATTATACATAATGTTTAATTTTTTTTTTCATTAGTACCATGTTTAAATTTATAGTTAATTTTTGAAAAAAAATTAAAAGTTTAGATACTAAAATATATCAAAATTAATAGTTTAGGTGCCAAACATATTAAGTTTTTAACAGTGCGTAAAAAAATAAAACAAAAACTAAATATTATGTGTGATTTTTAAAAGGACTTAAATATACGAAAGGTGCCCGGTGTATGCTCGTTTTTCCAGTTTAGTGTTTAACATTTTTTCGTTACAGTTTGGTGCCTAAAGTTTCATTCCGTAACTCAAAATGGATCACACCGTGACGGACCGTTAAATTTAATTGTTAACATATTAAAAATGTCACGTGGTATATTTTTTAATATTAAAAATAATTTTGCAAATAAAAAATAAATTAAACCGAAAAAAACATTTTAATGGGGAAAAATCAATTACCCATACTGGTCGAAGGAACTAGAACCCCTTCCCCTATCGCCCTCCGATCAGACATCTCCGACCACTGTGGAGGTGCCCCTTCGCAACTAACGGCCTCAGCAACTACTAGTGACTCAATCCCGACACTCTGATTTATCACCATTATCCCCCAATCATTTTTGAAATCCATCTTTATGAGGAGGGGGGAAGGGAATGTAGAAAAAGACATTGACTGAGAAAGATCTCGGGACTCCTTGCTTCTGTTTAGCTTTTGAATTTGAAAATGGGTTTGTTGGAAGTTTTTCTCAATAGGCTTCGAAGGTATGAAATTTTGTGTCTCTATTTTTTTTTTTTTTTTGGTTTCTTGTAATACCACTCTTTTATTTCCGTTGGATTCAGAATTTTGATTTAGATTAAATTGTGTTTTAGGATTTAAGTTTTAGGATTGGTCAAGTAAATATGTAAAAAAAATAACAAAATTCATAGACATGGACATGAACAAATTCATAGAAAATTCAATAAATTTGAAATGACTAAAAACCCTTAAATTTTAAATTTGTTGATCATATTTTCATATGTAATAGGGTAAGGGGAGAGATAATATAGTAGGATGCCCCCAACGTTAGGTTGTGAACAACTTCCGTTTCGTTATGAATTGCCCGAGACTCGATCTCACGACCATAAGATTTTTTAACCTTGTGATCTACCAACTGAACTAGACTGACAAGACCTATAAATTCTCATAATACATAAAATTTTCTAAAAAACTTACATTTAGGACACAGAAAGCGATCAAACGCGTTGTCTTTATAAGCCGATAAGCTACAATGGGTTTGAAACTCCTCATCCCATAAAACGACGTCGTTCGCGTTAACGCTGTCGACTTCTTTCGTGATATTCCTCTTCACTGTTCGCCTCAAAGAACTGAGGGATGCCTTTGGACCTTTCCATCGAATCTCCACCGTTAATTTCTTCGGCTTCTCTGCACATTGCCTTACCGAATCCCAACCTTCCAGCCTCGTCACGATTAATTTCACCTCGTACTTTTTCGAAACCAGAGGCGGTCATGGTCGCCACTTCATCATCTTCACCGCCATTTAAGAGAGAACCCAGAAAAGGAAAAAGAAACGTAATTTCCTTAAATTGATTGCAGAAAAACAACAAAACCCAGAAATCTAATATGTTTTCACCCTGGATCTTCTGAAATATAAACACAAAAAGGAAGGAAAGAGACAATCTTGGGGGTCCTTGAATCAAAGAGAACGTAGTTAAATAATTTATCAAAAATGGAGATTTTTAGAAGTTAGAAGTGGAATTGATTTGATTTGGAAGAACAAACGAAGAAAGACCAATCGTTAGGAAAGAGAGGGCGACGGGGGAAGGGGGTTATGGTTCCTTGGTTTTCCCCAATAAACGTTTTATTTTTCATTTTAATTTATTTTTAATTTGCAAAATTATTTTTTAATATTAAAAAATTTATCACGTGGCATTTTTAATGAGTTAACAGTTAA